ACCAAAAGGATATGAAAGATCATCCTCTTAGATTTCCAAGCATACCTCATTTGCATATTTTGGATCAAGGATGAATAAATTATGAATTTTTGGAGTTAGGTCCTCATTTTCCAAATTTAGAAACTTTTAAGGTTTCTTCATGAACAAGTTTCAATCCAAACCTCAATCTTCTTGATCCAAAGGGCAAAATGGGCTTGAAATATGAAAATTACACCCTTGAATTGATGGTTGACCAAAAATTCACCTGGTCAACTTTGACTTTGACTGATTTTGGCCAAAATGATCATTTTGCCCCTTTGAATCAATTGATCCACTTCTCTTCAAAATTGATGATCAAAGCTTCAAACACATGATATTACAAACATATAGAGGCCATGTACAAAGTTTCATCTCAAAATTCTCAAAAGATCCTGATGAAATCCCAAACCCTAGTTTTGGTCAATACCTTAGGAGAAAGATGAATCATCTTCAAAACTCCAAATCCTCTGGATATCTTGGCCAATTTCTTGCACAAAGATATTTCAAATGTCAATGAGGTGTTGTAGCCTCAAAATCAAGACTCGAACATTCATTAATAGCCTTGATCAACCAAAACCCTAATTTTGACTGATGAACCAAAAAGATGTGATCCTCCTTATAATCAACACAATCCTCATTCTTTTGATGACCCAATGAGATGGATAAGATATCTTGAGATATGTGATACCTTTGAACTTGAAAGATCCAAAGGCTTAGATGATAATTCTCTACTTGAGCAACTTGTCAACACAATCAATCTTCAAAATCTTGAGGAAAACTTGATAACCAGAATACTTTGATACCATCACAATGTATGGATGTAATGCAATATGATGTTTATGATGGAACATAAGCCTGAATCAAGAAGGTAAATTTTGGGGTGCAACATGAGGTTATGAAACAATTTAGTGTAGGGTTCTTAGGAGTGACATCATATCCTCAAAGGGTTGCAAATGTTGTTCTGGTACCAAAGAAAGACGACAAAGTACGCATGTGTGTAGACTACATGGATCTGAATAGGGCAAGCTCTAAAGATGACATCTCACTTTATTACAGTCATAAAGGAAACTCGTAGGGGTGCTTTAGAAATCATTGTTAAGGGACTAGATCATTTACCGAAGGCAACATCATAAGGGTCATCGAGGGACTACGATCTTTTTAACCGAGGGTCTTTGCTAAAGCGTCCCCACGTTCGAGAGACATGATTGTTTTTATTCGAAGGCAACAAGTCGGGTTACCCTAGAGGTGAGTGAGTGAAAAGTGATTCAATTAAGTTATTTAATCTTTATTACGATTATCTAACTATTGGTTTTAGATCTTGCCACACATGCCCTAATTACTAGCAGTAATAAGGAAAGCGGTAAATTGCAGAAAATAAAAGGTCCTACGCTATTACAAAGTTTCGGAGAAGGGGGTACAAAACCAGAAAACTATGGAAAAAAGAAAGTAAAACCCTAATTTACTATTACATACTGTAGCAGATACATAATTGGGAAAAACTAATGCGAAAGTAATAAAGTGCACGAAGATTGTAAAACAAAGGGAAAAAGAAAATTGAAAATCATTTTGTGATCGTTTGATGATTAATCTAAAAAAACCATAATTTATTTTAATATTTAGAAAAAGAATTAATTTATTTAAAAAGAATTGATTAATTAAGCAAACCCTAAAATATAGGTTGATTTTTATTCAATTGAGAAAACCTAAAAAAATTAAATTAGGTTTATTGATTAAAAACCTAAAATTAAGCAAAAACCTAAAATTTAAATTATAAATCTAAAATTAATTTAGAAACCTAAAATAAAATAAAAAAACCTAAAAATAAAATTAGGGTTTGTGTTAAGAAAGGGTTTTGAAAAATGTTTGGTGAAAGAATAGGAAAAAGAAGGAAGAAAAGAGTGAGAAACATATAATTGGAAAAAGAAATAACCAAATGAGTAGGGGTGGATGTTGAACCCACTCCCTCAAGCATTCCCCAAGCCTAGCATACCACCAAGCCAATGTGTTGGTTGTGTCAAAATAACAGGTTCAAGGAACTTTATTACACTATTATTTACTTTAGTTCTGTTACTCAAGGAATTCCCAAGTAACTCATCATAAAAATCAATGAATTTGGTCGTCACCTCTTTAGGATCATTCAACCAAGCCCCTTCCCTACTAGTTATCGAAGTAATATTGTTTGTGATATTTCTTTGCCTAATACTAGCATGAAACCAAGTATTATTAGCATCACCATCTTTCATCCATCTATGGTGAGCTTTTTGGGCCAAGAACTCATAGTAAGCTTGGCTAGTCACCACAACAACTCTTCTAGCAGAGTGTTCCTTATCTATCAACATTACATTGATGTGATCTTTTATAAACTCTTATTTACTCTTCTCAAGCTTGTGCCTAGCTACCAACTCAGCCTCCTGAATATTATTAAACCCTTTTCTTGTTGATATCCTACAACATCTCCTTCATTCTCTTCATCTTATGAAAACTCTATACATTGGAGTCCCATAACAAGATTTATTCCAACTGTCTTTGAGCATATCTTTGAACCTAGGGTATTTAAGCCACATTCTAAAATACCTAAAAGATTTTTCCCCCTTCCACCTCATGGTCTATGGTGAGAATGATAGGATTATGATCAAACTTGCCTTCTAGCAAGAAATGAACATTAGCATTTGTATGAGAATTTAACAAACTTTGATTAGCTATAGCTCTATCAATCATAGAATAAATTCGATCACTCCCCTGCTGCTAATTATTCCAAGTAAAATAGCTACCAGTATATTTGACATCTTCCAACTGACAATCCTGAACACATTGAAGAAAGTTACTGTTATTAACATATCTAGCCTTCTTCCCAATTCTATCCTCCCTAGAGAGGATATCATTAAAATCTCCCATGATGAGCCAGGGATTACTACTATACACTTCCCTCAACACTTTCCAGAGGTCCAATCTTTCTTTATCAGTGTTGAATCCATACACAAAAGTTACGAAACTCTCCCACTGAAGCCCTAGGTGCTTGATTTTCAAATGAATAATTTGGCGAGTACTCTTCAAGATATCCACCTTCATGAAACACCATGACTAGCTATGTTAGATGTGAAACACCATCCAGAAAACACATTATGATACAGGTTGCTAAGGTTATGAGCCTTGACTCTAGTTTCAAGGAGGCACATAATTCTGACCATGTTACAAAGGATCATCTTTTTAATCTCTCTTTGTTTCATGTGGTTATTTGCCCCCCCCCCCCCCCCCCCCCCCCCCCCCCCCCACACACACACACACACTGACATTCCAGGCTACAATCCTATCCATTATTAAGAGGGGATCCTCCCTTCCCTCCTTTCTCAATTGTACTGTTCATAACCAGATCTCTTCTTGAGATTTCTCCTTCCTTAAAGTTTTGCAATATTTGGAAAGAGTTTTCAATTACATTCACCACTTGTGCAGCTTTAGCCTTGTATCTAACTGCTTTAGTTGCCTTATGAAAATCATTAGCATCTCTAACTTATGGTCGAGGCTTATCTACAATTTTCTTTTTCACTATCCATTGTGGCTTCTTTGGGAATCTCTTCTTGCAATCTTCCACTATATGCCTTGACAGTGTGCACATTTTTCAGGTCGTCGTTCATATCGTACTCTGATTTCCACATTACTCATAATTATTTTAAAATATATTATTTATTGTTTTTGTAATAAATATGCACACACGACTCTTTCATTTGCTTTCGTCCATATCTAATCATACCAATTAAATTGTTTTTTATTAGTACATAACAATAATATTTAATTTTCATTTTAATTGTTATGAAATTTTGTTTTTTATTTCCAAATTCTTACTCTAAAAAAACTAAATTCCACTTTTTAATATTAGTGACGTTATCTATCATTTAAAATTTTAACTTTGTAGTTACTATCATATTTAAAAAAATCAAACTTAATCTCAATTTCTCATTTTTTTATACTAATTATCTATCAATCTGAATCCTAAACCTATAATCAATGACTATTAGATATTTTAAAATTATATTTCTTACTATCTTTATAATCCTAAACCTATAATCAATGACTATTAGATATTTTAAAATTATATTTCTTACTATCTTTAGTAAACAATTATATTTCTTAATATGAAGTTATAATATTTATCTATCATTCATATTTCTAAGTCAATAATTAATGGAATATTAAATATTTTGAAACTATTTTTTTAATTATATTTATGTACAATTATTTTTAAATTATAAATTACAGCTATAAAATTGTCGTTTTAGATATCATTCATTTATTAAAATCACTAAAATCTAAGATACATTTAAATTGATAAAACTTAATATAATTCTATATTATTTATAATTGCATCAGTTTTTTATTACACTTTAAAATCATATTTTTAAGTATTCTAATAAACTAATATAATTAAGAATCAAACTAATATTCTAACATATTCTAACATTCTTTAAAATTTAATATATTCTTAAATATTCTAACAAACTAATAAACTAATCTATAAATTCTTTTTATAATAAAAATATATTTAAAAATCAAAATAGCACTATTTAATAAAAAAAATAAAATAGCTTCGTTAAAATATTAATAACTTAAATTAATAAATTTTAGAATCATTAATATTTATAAAATTGAAAAAAAAATATCTTTAAAGTTTCATTTTAATTTTCAAAATCATTTTTTTTCTTTATTTTATCCTCTTTTTTTTTATCAAAGATTTGAAAATTCAACTATATACTTTTTTTTTTTTTTTGTAGGAATGGATACTAGAAAAAGTAATAAAAATTATATTAGATAAACCAGAAAGAGACTCTGAAACACAAAATAAGAGACACTCTTACAATACAACAACACTAATTTGGAACTTTAAATAGTTGAAAAATTGCAAAGCAACACACAAAAGAAAAGAAGAAAAATAAGAGAGACTCTTACAATACAACAAGACTAATTTGGAACTTTAAATAGTTGAAAAATCATTCAGAAAAAAGAGAAGAAATGCCTTCGAAAATGGTAGAGATAGAATTGGTAATATCCCCTGTAACTATGTCCAAGAGCACGTTGAACGCCAACTTGCCGGTAAATTTAAAGAACGAACCCGTTCTCCCTTTTGACCTATTATTATTATTCAAACTGATCTCATGAAGAATCATATCTTTGAAACACGACACATGAACACAACTGTTTCCACTAGAGTTAACTACATATGACCAACCTTCAAAGTTGTTCCTCACAACATGCCTTTTCTTACAAAGGTAACAGTCTGATGGAACTTGATGACACAAAGTCAATGTATCTGAAATGTTTTTTTTCAGGTTCAAACAACAAGGATGTAGAGCATCCCCTGTCCTGGAACAGTAGAAAAAACCTAACAAATCTTTTCCACAAGCATCACAGAATCCACCCTCTTGTGCTTTCTCATAGAATTCAAATGTACAATTTTGGAAAAATGGATGAACTGCATGCATAATAGGTTTTGCACATTCCTCGTGGAGGACGTAGTTGCAATCGCTGTTTTCACATGTGTAATAGTTTGATGCATAACCTATCTCTTTACAACCACTGCACCTATATACAGATCCTGAATCATTCAGTTGTAATGTGTGTTGATGAGCCATCTATACTTTTGTACAAGGATTTGTGTTAAGATGCTTTCTATTTATATGCAAATATTACAAGACTCACTTACGCGTTTCCTAGAAAAGAGTATGAAGAATTTTCCTAGAATGGGAACTCAAATATTTTTTAAATATTATTTTAATATTTTAATTATTATTATGTTATATATTTATATTATCTATTTTATTAATTAAATATCTTAAACAATTAAGTGATAAAATAAAGTTAAAACATTAATTTAATTTTTATTTAGAGATTTTAATTAGTTAATTAATTGAGTATGATTTCAATCCATTTTAAAATAATGAAAATTCTAATTAAAAATAAAGGTGCTCCTCAAATATTCTTGTTCAGTTGTAACGTGTGATGGTGATCCATCTATATGTTTCTAATTTTGTACTTTTGTTAAGATGCTTTCACAGACAGTCCTGGTTGCCAGGAAAGAGTATACATTATTTTAACCGAACATGACATAATCAACTATATGTGTCACTCTCAAAGTCAATGGTATGTAGGTCAACTGAGAGGAATCATTATAAGCCATTGGATTTTTTTTTCATTTGTAAGATTAAATCTTTTGTAAATATTATTAAAAGAAATACTCCTAAATTAATTAAGGAAAGTAATTTAAATCTTTTTAGCAACAAAGGATGTTGTTGCTTTCAGCGGCAACTTTGTGTAGCCACTTTCACCTTCGATTCTCCTTGTTTTTTTTCTTTCCTTCCATATTTAAAAAAATACTCAACATTTTGATTATCATAATATAACTATGAAATTAAATAATATGTATGAAAGAAGCCATTTTTATATAATGGAAATTAAATGTCTATATGAAGAACCTTATAGTGTTGATAAAAAGTATATCTTCTGGAAAATGAAAATCTATTAATAACCCTTTCTTTTTCGGTTCCACGTCATCAATTTTGGTGTAAAATATGTATTTTTAAAACTATTTCTAACTCTTAGAATAAGATTTGTGTCTACAATATAATTTTGAAAATTTGATGATAACAACACATATATTTGATGAGAAACAATTTTAGTTTTTAATAGTTTCATTAAGTGTGCAGATATGAAATCCTAATTGATTCAGGACTGTTGTCTGGAAAATCAGAAATACCAGCGCACTCATCAAAAGAATCATTGTAATTGTTTATAAAGAAACATCAACAGTTCTAAGGAATGTTAAATGTTCATCAGAAATAAAATCAAAGCGTTCTCAGAAAAGCGCTGCTCCAAGATCAATCCAAGATCAGAAGTCAAGATGTGTTCATCAGAAGAGTTGTTGCTCATAATTTTGAAGACATAGTCAAGATTCTGAAGATCAGGATAGTTCATGGAAAAAATTCAATATTAGAAACCAAAATATAAATGATATAAGTTGTTGCTTCAGATATCAGACATCAGATATGCAACTCAAATAAGCTATCATCATAAGTCAAGATCAAATCAAGACACAGTGGATCAGAAACGCTTTCATTCAAAGAAGTTGTTCCTCATATGAGTTGTTGTTTGTATGTCTGAAGACAATGTTCAAACATCTGAAAGAATCTGACTTTACAACAAAGAAGCAACTTCTGGATTACTATCATTCATCATATTAGAATCATCCCATCAAAGATGAAAAAGATAAAAGACTAATCTTCCAAAGCTTACTACTTCAAGCCAGAAGTAAATCATCAGAACATAAGGTTTAAAGAAACTTAGCCACGAAGAATACAGTACAGACACTACGTTCAAATTTTACTACATGCTTACGTATTGTACTATTTTGTCTGCCACGAGGAAATACTACTGCTATTGTAGCTGGCAAGTGAAAGCAACATTTCTACACCAACAGTCTATTTTTCAAGTTTATATAAAGAGATTTCAGTATAATTTGAAGATTGACGAATTAATGAATATTATCAAGCTTGAATCAAAGTGTTGAAATACTGATATACCACAAGATAAATGAAAAATCACTACTCAAATACTTATTCAAATATTCTTCTAGAGAAATATCAAGAACACAAGAGTTGTTGCTCGTTATTATGTTAAGATATTAACGATTAAACAAAAAGAGTTGCTGCTCATTATTTGTGTTTATCTTAGAATTCTCAATACAAAGAGTTGTCGCTCATTATTTATATTAGAGACTTTGTACTTCATTATTGTGTTAATTTTCTTTTTAGAAGCAAACATTGTAAACAAAGTTGATTGTAATTCTGTTGAGAATTAATTTTTTCCTCAAGTGACTAGGTTGTTATTCAGTAGACTTGAGAGGGATAAATTGTCTGTTGAGACTCTTAGAGGATTGTTGTTAGTCACCGGCGGGTTTCCCGTGCATCTGTAATCTGTTAAGATTAGTGGATTAAGTCCTTGTTGAAGATGAAATCACCTGAGGAGGATGGACAAGAGTAACCTTGTTAAAGGTCAATCTAGATAAACCAAAGAGTCATTTATAGTCTTTCTTTAGTTATACTTTTTCTAGTTAGTTTGTGAAATAATTTTTTAAAAGATAAAGCTTATTAGAAAACCCAATTCAAACTCCCCTTTCTTGTGTTTTTCTCATCCTTCAATTCATATCAGGAGCTCTAACTCTTTATTTGTTTTCAAATCAAACACTTAACCGTATAGAGAGATCTAGCGTGAGAAAAACTTTCTATGGTTGCGCCCATAAACAACAACGAAAGAGATAATTATTTTTCCAATCCTTCTATTTTTGATGGTGAAAGATTTGAGTATTGGAAAGGCATACTAGAGAGTTTCTTTCTGGATTATGATGCAGATCTTTGGGGTCTAATTACATAAGTTTATAAGGAACCTATATCTGCGATTGGTATTCCCATTCCAAGAAGTAGAATGAATGAAGATTAGAAATGTCGAAGCAAAAATCATCATAAAGCTATAACCATTCTTCTTAACACTATCTCATATAATGAATATGAGAAAATCACCGACAGAGAATCAGATAAAGGGATTTTTGACTCCTTATAATGAATATGAAGCCTTCAAAATTGAAGAAGATGAAACTATTGCAACTATGTTTTCAATATTTCAAACTTTAGTAGCGGGACTCAAGGTTCTGAAAAAAATTTATATGACAGCAGATCACGCCGAGAAAATTTTCAGAAGTCTTCCAAAGAAGTGGATACCAATGGTAAATGCGTTAAAGCTCTCCAAAGATTTGAATAACATTAGTCTTGAAGAGTTAGTTAGTACTCCCAGGAGTCACGAAATTGAGTTAGAGGAAGATGAACCTCGAAAAAGGTTAAATCCATTGCTCTAAGATCAAGAACAGAAAAGAGTAAGATCACGAAATTTTGTTTTTATTTTTGTTTTAATTTTTTCCCTAAAGATTAAATTCCACAAAAATATTTTTAGTAATCCTTATATATTAAAATAATGTTCCATGATTTTTAATATGATTTACAATCAATTTTGCTTGATTCTAAAAATTGTTGAAGTTTATTGTTGTTTTTGGACATTTTTCTTGCATAGTTTTAGAGATTTAATTAATTCTCTCATTTAACTCACTTCTAAAATTCAAAGCAAATTTTTTTAAGGTTCTTGGTTAAGTTAATATCATGAAAATATTTTTTATTGAATTTTAAAACTTGATCATACATTTTTTACAAAATGTTTTGTTAAACATGTCTAGCTTGAGCACTTGGCTAACTAGTCTTGATGATTTCGAATATTTTTCATCCTTCCGTGTTGATCCAAGAAATTTAACCTTGTCTTCTTACTTTTAGGGACCTTGAGTAATTTATAATTAATTTGGTTTGAAATTATGAGACCTCTTTCTATACTTTACCTAATTTTTGTATTGAAATTGTCCATTGAGACTTTTTTAAGCTTGTTGCTTTTCATTTGCTAGCTTATGAAACTATTTTGGGGCTGAGTTTTATATTCTTAGTAATACCTGGATTCCTTTAGCATCTAATTAGCTTGGAAGAATTTAATTTATCCCTTTTAGCTATTGATGATCATTTTGTTTTGAACTCCTAATTGTCCAAGTTTTAAACCCTAATTTGTGTTTCTTGTGAGCTTTTTGAGCCAATTCTTGCTATGATTGTGAATCCATTGAGGTTTAGAGATATTATAAACTTAAGGATAGTCTTGAAAAGTATTGGGTTACACTTGATCTCTCTATGATCATTTCTCATTTCATTTTGAGATTGATCCTTTTTATGCCTCCTTATTGATTATGTGAGATATAATGAATGCACTTATGCAATCTATAAGGAATCAAACTTCCTTATTTTTAATCTATTATAAAAACTTCTTTAGGATCTTAAGTTCAAATCCTTTGAACTATTTAAGCATCCTAACTTGTATTTATTTATGTTCCTAAATTCACCAAATGAGATCAAGGTCAGAAGTTTGTTTTGATGCATTCCTTTGTCAAATACCTTTGATCCATAATGAATGAACTTTGTGGATTTGCTACTGACTTATAAGGTAATAATTCCTTTAAGGCATATCTCCCATGATTATATGGCTTGCACTCAATTACAAGTCCCTCATGATGACAATGAGAGCCATATTCTTGTTTTAACCTAGTTTATTTGTGATGATATTTTGAATCCTATAAAGAACCATGGTCCAACATCTTTCTGCTTCAGTTTTGATCTTAACTTCCCTTATTATCTCATTTCTCATGCTTCTTTGATCCATGGTTAAGCACCCACTGGCTAACCGACACGGTGATACATAAGAAGCTACATTCTCTTTTCCACTTGTGTTTTGAGCATCATTGTCTACTGATTATCTCATAAGTTTTTGTTCCATCTCCTATTAATGTATATTGATGTTGGATACCGCCCATAACATCTAAGAACATTACATTTGATTTATTTAAATCACATTTCTTGTGTGCATTAAGTGACTATACTTTTGCCAATGTATCATGACACTTGAGTATGTTTTGTTGACATTTCTTGAGGCTTTAAGTTCATGATTGATATCTTGTGAGGGTTTTACCATTAATGTATCATGACACTTGAGTATGTTT